TTTAAGTGGCACTCTTATCATTAAGTCTACTAGTCAGTACAGTAACAATAGTCGTTTGTTTTAGGTCTTTAACTTGCATAGCTTTTTAAAGTTTCATTTCGCCCTTAATAAATTGACATCAAGCTTAGGGTTATTTTTTTAACTCTTTGGTTACTCACGAATTGGGACAAAAATGAATGGTTGAGCTCATTGAAAGTAGTGATCGACCTTGGCTCTAGACTACTATATCTAGACCGAGTTATGCCTTTCAAAGTGGTGGCCAGACCCTTTACACATTAGAGCCTTATCTACCCCTGCATCATCATATTAGCTTTATAAAGTTTCAAATGATCAAAATTATCAAAAGTAACATTATATGTCCTCAAAGTCGGTATTTTGAATCTTTTGAGAGGCATAGCTCTATCGATCTCTTCGATAAAGGGTAAAGTTTCTAAGAATTTGAGCTCATCCTCAAATGCTGCTAGTTTCATTTTGAATTCATTCTCTATGGCCTATTTCAAGCTTTCAAATCTCTGTTCAGTTGGGGTTCATGATCTATTTATTTGGACTTATGGGTTGTGGCATGTGTAAAATTATGGTTGATGTGATGAGGAGTTGGATTTGTGTGTTTTTCTTCTTTGCAGACTAAGGAGGCTTCCGCCTCTTCATAGCCTGATTACCCGACAATAGCTTCTCAGCCCGATGTGACTAAATCTAGCACTTTGGAGACTTGTGGTGGGATTATAGTTTACAATATCTATTTGAGGGCTTGTATTTAATCGGTTAGCGCTTAAAATTGCTCCATGGTTGGCCCCAACTGTGGTTGAGCTAGGCGGACAAAATGTTAGCTTAGATGAGTTTCTATTCTAGTCGGGGCAACTACCTCTCTTTTCTCTTAGGTTTTTTTTCTCGGTGACATTATTTTGTGCTCGACTAATATGAAAATGCTACTTCCCTACCTAGCATACCAAATGTTGGTGCCAAGCTCCGACTTAAGAGTATTCTTATAAATGCAGAAGAGAATGACGATTAAAGGCAAAAGTAATAGGTGTTCCCTGCATTTACACTATAACATGAAAGTCAGTAAGGATCAGGTTGGAAAGAAAGTGAGAATGTAGGAAAAAAAAGAAAGATATAGATTAGATGAATATGACCTTATGGTGTCTAAGTCTTTATATTTATCGGTAAACTAAGAGGGACAAAAAAGGATAATTAGGATAAGGCCAAGCTGAAGTGACACTACAGATATCAGATCGACCTGACATGTTAGGTAAATACAAATGATCAAAATATCCTTGATTGTTTGTTGAAAACTAAGAGAGGAAAAAAGATTATTATGCCTTTTTGACCATTATCTACTTCTAACAATATCTATAAGCAATAGCAACATAATCCCCCCTACATCTGGCCATCTCTTATGAAATATATATGATCATCTATTGTTATTGTGAGAGGCCTAGATATTGGTCGATTCATAGTTAATAGGCATTGCAATTTATCAAAGTGGGAAGTAATTAATAGTGCTTGTACCATTAATTATGCATGGTAATGGTGGGTGTTAATACTCATGTAACCAAGTACTTTGTCGGGTGAAGAAGGGAAACCTATAGAAGGTTAGTTGAAAGTTGAAACAACATAACGTGGACGGGAGATGGGTTGTGGGGCAGAATCAAAACCAGAAAACTAGATAAAATATTTAAACTAGAACCAGAATGATTATTATAACTACTAAAAATTAAAGGTTTTTCTTTCACTTTTTCAAAGATAAAGTAATACTGTATTATATATTGTTGCCAAATTAATCACTATATTAATATAGTTTAATGTTTATTTTTGTTATATTATATTTTAGTTTTATCGAATTTTATAATTATAATTTCAATTTTATTAACGTAATTGATAAAAAAATTGTCTTGTATTAACAAATTTTTCGTAAAATAATCAAACTATTCCATTATTTTCACTAAAACATTAACAAAATTGAAATATAATGAAATTTAAAAAAAAAATTAAAATGTAAACAAGAAAGATTAAAAGTAATATACTGTACTAGTAATGGTAAAACTAAAGAAAACCAGACTAGTTTTTAGTTAGTACTTTCCATATAACAGAACCGGTTCCGTCTTTTGTACTTAATCTTGGATCTTAGGCTAGTATTGGATTTCACTACATCTTTAACGGGATATCATTAAATTTATTACACTATCAATTAAATTTAAATATTAATTTCAATAAAATCCATTCAATCTAATTTTTTTAAAATTTATTTTCAATCACAATTAAAATAACTCTTATTATTATTTTTAATTTTTCCAAAATCAATATTAGACCTTACAATTCGTATTTTTATATCGTATTTCGTGTTGTATTTGATACACGTAATGACACGAATTATTAAAATGTAAACATGATACGAATTATAAAATACGTTTAAATCTGAAACACGAACACAATACGTTTAATACACATATTATACATGATACGACATGATTAACACGCGTATAATTAATTTTTTTAAACAATACATGAACATACATAACTAATATATATATACACGAATAGACACAATTAATAAAGATATACACGAATATATGCAAGAACATGACTAAAATATGCAAGAACACATGATTAACATGTGTACAATTAATTCTTTTTAAACAATACATGAATATACATAACTAATACATATATACACAAATAGACACAATTAATAAAGATATACACGAATATATGCAAGAACACGACTAAAATAATAAATAATTATAAACTATTAGTCATTTACAATTTAATAAATTTGACATATTAATAATATAAAAAAATATTTACATATTAAAAAATAAAATAATTTAATACTCATTTAATATATATTTAATATATATAAATTTTAGTTTATATTACATAACTTTATTAATTTTTAATATCAAATTTAAAATGATAAATTATTAAAAATTAAAGAACAAAATAATAATATGTAAAAATAATATTTATATTTATATTGTATTTATATTATAAATATAAAAAATAATTTTATAATAATTATTAAATAAGTATCATAATTAAATATTTAAAATAATTTTAAATGAAATTCAATAACTAATTAAATATTATAATTAAAAATTAAAAATTAAAATAATCATTATATATTTATATTAAATTAAAATAAATATAAAAAATAAATTAAACGTATTAAACATATTAAATATATATTTATATAATAAAATAAAATAAAATTTATTATTTATATCATGTCATATATTTATATTAATCAACGTATATATATATATATAACATGATTATATCGTATTAAAATTTATATTGATATAAATAAATATAAAATATTTTTTTAAAACACATAAAAAAATTTTTATTATTTTTTATAATACTATTCGTATTTGAAATGAAAAAGTCTGATCTATATCACTGAAATCAAAATCATATAGCATCTAAATGAATCCAAAAATTCAAAGTTTGGTGAGAGGTTTAGAGCAGTCACAATCAGTCCCTTTCATTGTCTCGTCTGACCAAACGTCACCTTAACCAGACTTCTAATTATATTTTTCCACAAACATTTTTTCAATATCTTCCATCAGCCTTTTTCACTGTGCCTTCAACGTTTCACACTCTCATTCGCTCAATAGATCTCGTATCCAATCCTCCTGAGTCTGCCCTATGTGGCGGGACCACCAGAGTATCTGCGTCTCAATCGTCAGACGTCACACATTGAAAGATCAAAAAACATACAGACACGGCAAGTTAATATATGTATGATGATTATATCTATATGTTGAGGTGGTAAGTGGGGTCCAATGGCGTTGGATGTGGACGTGTCAACTGGATAGGATTATGATGCGTAGGGATGTGAACTGATGGGACGATGCAGGATTATTGTGGACTCAAATTTTGGGGAGTGTGATTTGATTGGTGAGCCGTGAAATTTAGGGAAATCGTCTGTTCCCAAGGTTTTTGGGCGCACGTGTCATGTCCTGGTTTCTGTATGTTGGAAACGATGGAGATGGACGGTTCATAATTCAGGAAGATGTACTCTCCAGCTTTGGCTCTGAGTCTGACTCTTGTTGCTGTAGTGGATATAACACGCGCACTTTGGGAGCGTGGGATTCATATATAAATTTTTTTATTTTGATTAATATTGTTAATAATTGTAATAAATGTTTAATATAATATTTAAATTTTAAAATTTTTTATATTATTTTTAAATTATAAATTTATTAATTAATGTAACATTTATTTTTAAAATTATTAGGTCATAATGATCATATTAATTTTTAAATTTTAAAAAATTTTAGTATAATATTTGAATTATAAATTTATTAATTAATATAATACTTATTTTTAAATTATTAATTTATAATGATAATACGTAATTAATAAATAATTTTTTAAATATTATATTAATTAATAAATTTATAATTGAAGTATCTTGTTAAAAATTTTAAAAAATTTTATATCATAATAAATATTTTATTTGAAAATATTATCCTTTTATATTTCCATTTTATCAAGCAAACCAAAGGTTAGGCTGAATTTGAACAAGTAAAAAATAGTACTCCAAAATTTTAAAAATTTGAAATATGGGGAGTCCATTAATCACTTATCACGATTCATACAAATTTTTAAGATATTATTTATTTAGGTTCATTATACTTCATAATTTTATTTTATAAAATTTGTTTTACAAATTGAAAATTGAGCAAATACTTATATTTTAATATCGACTTTAAGTATATAATTAATGTAAGATTTATGGCTTTTTTCTTACTTTTTAAGATCATGATATTTTTTTTCACTTCAACTAAAATATATTGTCATCAGTGACACATTTTTAATACTTTTAAAACTTATTTTAATATCAAATTTTTCGATTCATATTAATTTATTAGATATTATTGGTTTTAATTTATTAAATTTTACGGGTTTTATTTCATAAAAAATATCTCATAAATTTAATATAAGGAAGCATTTATATCCAAAGATCTAACTTTCATACAAAATTGATATGAGATTTATAGTTCCTCTCCAAAAGCATCACACCGCTGCTGTACGAAGTTGAATAACTCATGGCCCAGATCATGTTTTTGTTGACAGTATCCCACAATTGTTGATGTCAATATTATGTAGGATCGGGAATTGAGAAGACTACATGGATTTCTGTTCAGTTGAGAACTTGATATCAGATTAAAAACCAAATGCTGCACTGCAACAAAAGGCTACTGCTACCCGAAAGAATACAAGAAACTAATGGAACACATAACCTCTTTTTTTCCTGCTAACAAAGTTCAAAAATTGGTAGTATTTCATCTGCATGCTGCACCATCTGTCAATTAAAATCAACTAGCACTGCCTGCAGTGCCGCACCAAGGTGCGGATGAACCTTTACCTATATGGTTTTTGCAAACTGCAATAGCTTAATTGTAACTATTCTCGAAAGCATTGCCATATGAATTTAGCATTCAGTACACCGACCAACTAAATCTGTGTAACTTGCAAAAAAAAAAAAAAAGCAATACCGAAGTATTATTCCTTGCAAAGTCTTAGCAGTCTCAAAACCTTAAGCATCTCATTACATTAATAATCCAACAGGCTTGGTGATTCTAAAATGGATGAGATTTCAATTTTCCCAACTCTTAAAAAGTACTGTTTTCTGTGTCACCCATTGAATATAATGAGCTAATTGATTTGTAAAAGCAAAATGAAAACTAAAATTTATTCCTCAACATACTGAATTTGGAGGATGTTCTTTCATGTCAGCCACGCCTGGAAAAGAATCCACCTTGTGCAGAAAGGAAAGAAGACTACGAGAAAATGAGATGTCTCATTCTCATGGACTAGGCTGTTGCTAACATGAAAACCTGTGCAACGAAAGGTAAGGTAAATAACAATGTTCATAAAGATACTAAGGCAATCAATAATCCTTATGCAGGTCCAAAAAATCAGCATGTGATCTTTTATCATATTAAAAAGAGGCATAAGAATGGTGTTGCTGCTCTCGATTAGCCAAAGCTGTCCTTTTGCATATGGGGCATGAATTCTTCTGCACGAGCCATTGCTTAATGCAATCGAAGTGAAAGTCATGGCCACAGTCCAGCATTCCAAGCTCTTCTCCATTACCATACTCCTCCTGCATACAGTTTTTAAGCACAGCGAAATGGAAATTAATTTCAGTAATCAATATCTATATTAATCAATCCAAACTCCAAAGAATGCATAGAGATCTAATTACGTTCCATCTTGGTACCTATTCCTGGAACACGATGAAAGAGGGATCTTATACCTGACAGATACAGCATGTTTCAGCTTCCACTGGAGGTCCAATTGTGATGGACTGATAATTTCGCCTTCTCAGATAGGCCAGAATAAATTCCTCGCTTAGCCCAGTGCAAACGTCCCCAATTTGCTCTTCCAGGAACAGTAGTTCCTAAAATTTTGAAAGAAATCTCGTCATTTTTAAAATCTGAAATCATTGCCAGTCAATTACAAAGATTTAAAGGTTACCTCATAAGACAAACTATCAACATCTAAGCGCATATCGTCATGATTATCAGGCTCCTCAGGCATATCATTCAAAAATGAAGGATCAGAATCCTGGCATATATACCACCATTAATTGGTGCAAAGCTAAAGTTTAAACCTTGATATAGCAGCAATTTACTTCATGTTGAAACTAGAGAAATGATTATGTAACAATAGGGAAAACTATTGCATCCAACTAAAACTTTAAAAATAAATAAATAAATAAACCTTGGCGTTACCTCACGGTGTATTACACCATGCCTACGTCCAATTCCTAAGACATTGCGAAGCTGTTATGACAAAGGTTAGGAGAGTTAAAACTTCTGGATCCAATGATGTTTGTAGCAGCCAATAGGATAATATAAGTACAAATTAAAATACTAAACAAAATGAGTATTTAGTTCCCAAATACATTCCAAAAGCCAGCAACCAAACTTCTCAAAGCCTTTTTGCAATAAAAGAAAACAATATATATAAACACTTTTCTCTAACGAAGAAACTATAGCTTAGTATTCACCAATGACAGATTAATTAGCTAGTTTACTTTTACCTAAAATCAGCACTTCTAGATTCTCATTTCTCTGAAAGAACTAATTTTGTAGTTAAGCATTTGTGGCAAATTTGATATGATGACCAACATTAGCATTATTCTTCTAGAAATTTATATAAATGAAAGCTACAGTTTTGAAGAATACAGTCTATTAAGCATACCTCAGCTAACTGTCTACGTCTCCTTTGATCAGCAGTTTCAAATTGTACTGTAGGTGAGACTTCAGAATGATGACGACCTTGTCTCTCAGCTCCCTGTCCCAACCTCTGAGGAACCTGACCAGTCCCGACATTTCCACCCCTCTCTGAAAAGTCCAGCTCTCGCACAACAAGAGAAGCACCCGAATTTACTGGGCGGTAATTCCACAGCCTCCTGTCCTCAGAGCGATCGACAATATCTCGCACTCTTTGTGCATGTTGTTCTGCCATATTTGGTTGAGGGTACCTCGTGGACGAAGTCGGTAGATACACGCCTGTCCCGGGTTGGATTCTTGAAGAGGAGGCAATGTTTCCGATGAAATTTGCACTCCCATTGGCCAAGTTCAGGTTTGCTTGCATGTTTGCCGAAGGAATCATCATATTTCTTCTGTTGTTTCTTGAGTTTTCTTCCAACCCCAAAGCTTCTCTTACATAGACAGTCTGATCAGGAGAGGTAGATGAAGAACCAACCAATGACATGGTTGTCCCATTCCAATTTTGGTAAGGTTGCGGAGCGTGCAACGAATTAGAGAATTGTACAATGGGCTGCATGGCTGGATTTACTGGAACTGGTGCTAGTGCCGAGCTTGTAATTGTAAAGCGATCAAATGGAGAAAATACTAATGGTTGACCAGTTGCTTGTACATTAGCTAATGGAGAAAATACTGATGGTTGACCAGTTGCTTGTACATTAGAATTGCTTGAGTTCAATGTCCACAAGTTTAGTGGTGTAGGGTTCTGTTGACTTTCAGTTCTTCTCAAGCGGGTATTTCTTTGAAAGTCGTCTACTTGTCCAGCCTCATTTAGAATATGATAGAGGTTAGAGGGTGCTGGCGGAGCAACCAGAATTCCTGAATGGCTGCTATTCAGGCGATTATTCAAGGAACTAGATGCATTTAAACTACTGATGACATTATCTTGGGCGGTAACCCTTGACTGTTCAGAATTCCCAACTTGCCATGTGGAGCTTGAACTATTTACTTGCCCAGAAGCAAATTCAGGCTCCCTTCTTTTGCATAAGAGCCTTCTCTGTCCATCAGTTGGAAGACCTTCTCTGTTGATATTTTCTTCTACAGCATATTCCGCAACTCCTGAATAAATCAAGACTGGGCTAGAAGAACGGATGCGATTACCTGCTCCTGTTCCTGTTCTGAAAAGGTCTAATGATAAGTATGGCCCATTATCCTGGCTTGCATTCTGTCCACGGCTTTCATGTACAACTGCATTCTGTCCGCGGCTTTCTTGTACAACTGCATTCAGTCCACGGCTTTCTTGTACAACTGCATTCAGGTCCAAGTTATGTTGGAGAGGATCAGAACTCTCCTCTTGCCCTGGAAAAACTGATGATGGGCCAATTGGGCCATGCTCACTGCTGATGTGACCATTTCGGTGGCTCACGCCAAGGATATCTAGGAAAGGGTTGACGGTTGACGGGCTCGCATTAATGTTCTGTTGGAAAGGATTAAAGTTCGGCTCATTAAAATGTCTTTCTTCGAAGCTTTGAACAGTGCTAGGCTGATCACGAAGAGGTGATAGCCACAAGTCATCACCTACTTGACCAAAACTGACATGGTTTTGGGCATCAAGACCAGAAATGGGTTGACCAATCCAACTCATAGAAGTATCTCCATTATTATCTACAGCATTAGGAACCACGTCATGCTGATCAGATGGAAGAACATCATTGAAGTAAAAGTTTCCACGGAAGGAATTGGAGCTGCCTTGTTGACCTTGACCTTGCATTATGGCCAACCTGAAATCACATGATCGCCCGAAATTGACTTAGAAAGATGAATAAACCTGATTTTACCATAGTCCAAGTGCAAGATGACGATGTAAAATATGCATGTTTAAGATTTCAATACAAGCAAGCAAGTTAAAAATATTACTGCAAAGTTATTTGTGGTGGATGTCAACAAGAGATATATACATTATACAATAAAGTAACATACAGGAAGATATGCTAGAGTTTTATCAATGTCCAATTTCCTATAATCATTACAAACTTCAAAGATCTTCCATATGTGTATTAATTTATTTCTTTCTTTCCTTGTTCTTCCTAGTAGATTCAAAACCAAACAACAATTTAACTTATTTTTCACATTATGGAGAACTAATTAACAGGATTTCCATGTTTTCTTCTTAAAACATGATATAAAAAGAATAAGAAGATTGGTGATAAGGTAAAAACTTGCTCTAGTCTAAGAATCAATGGCATATTACAGTTCCAGTGCAAATAGTCATACAAATATTTTAGTTGCATGCAACCACGTCTGAAATATTTTACAGTGAAAAAATGGTTTGCAAGAATGAAAAGCCAATCGGTCTTCCAGGCATCATAAAAACATGATTAAACAAGTAACTATATATTCAATCTAAACACTATAGTGCTGAATGTACTTAAAAAACATGATTGTCTATTTTCAAAGAGGAATATGAATAAATTAATATCAGTAGAAACTAGAAAGCAAAGGTAATAGATGTAATATTGAAATAATAATACTATCTAGGTTAATGAGGCCAACTCACTACAGTCTAAACAATTTAGCTAGCCCAAAATCATGATCAAATAATATATGCAAGCAGGCTATACAATTATATTATTACATATAGGGTGCTAAACTGTTAATGTCAAAAATTCAACCTTCAATTCACAAACTTATAATTGATTGAGGAAAATTTAACTAAGTAGAATTTTAAAATATAAAAAGATATTAACAATTAACACAAGAAAAAAATAAAATATATAAAATAACTATGAAAAAAATACGTGACCATTATATTAACATCGCCTTTATATCATTCATAAAAGTTTATATGTCAATTTCGAAAGACTTAATAGCAAATTGGGAGTCAAAAAATGAACCAATGAAGTGGGATTTGCATGTGTGTGTTGAATAAATTAATTTACAAAAGTTAAATTGATCCCAAACTAAAGAAAAAGAAATAAGGATTTTTCTTGATTTTATTACTAAACTTCGGATAAATAAAATAAGAATAACAAATACAAGGAATCAAGTATTCGTATGAAGCAAAATCAAAAGAGTGTACCCCCAAAAATTGATCCTAAAGATCTGACCACTTGAACCACAAACAACAACAAAGAATAATGTTTTGAGAACAAAGGCTACGTAAGGAAGGGACCCTCCAGAGATGCAGGACCATACATCACCAAAAAACAAAAGATCTGGTAATCAGAAACAATAAGGGGTCTTTACCAAAAGATTCAAGTGAATATAGGATGAAGAGAGATGAAATATAAAACCAATGGTCATCCCCCCCCTCCCAACCATTATGATTTACAAAGATCTTACGTTAAGATGTAAACAATTGAGAAAAATTTTACTAAATGAATTCATAGGGTTGTAAGGGGGCAAAACTCAAGGATAAAAACAAGATCAATATAAATTCTTCATTGTCACATATAAAACTTAGCTGATAAAGATCCATGAGATTTATCAACCCTCATTTTGTTTCGTTTGTTTTGAGGAATTAGACCTGACTGAAAAGTCTTTTTTTTTTCTCCATTGATTAAAAGAATGGTGTTTTATTACATCTCATAGAACTTCATTTGAGTCAATTCAAGTTAAACAAACAAGAAAATAAGGATGATAAAAGGCAGATTAAAAACAAATAAAACTGAACAAACACAATCTGATATTTCTGGACCATAAAACCAAGCCTCAATGTTGAATCTTAACCCTTAAAAGATCAAACTCAACAAAATTTATAGGACACCGTGAAAACCAAATCCCAATTCAAAACAAATCACACAAAGGCAAACATATAAAAACTATTAAACCCTCTGACTTGACACAGCGAAAGAGCATAGAAAAGGGTCTATACCGAAAGTGATGAAACCAGGCAGTGAAGCCAATAGAAAACAGACAAGACAATTCTGTAACCACCCACAGGCTCTTTTGTTTTTTTGTTTTTCCCTCTTTTTTTCACTCAAACTTGTCTGTGACTTTATAATTTGGTGCAAGTGACAAATGCAAAGCAAGTGGTTTATATAGTGCCATACAAAGAGTGAAAAATGGATTTTTGGAGATATTTAAGCGAATTTTCCAATGAAAGATGTGAAATCATAACTACAAAGGAAATAACAACTATGGTAGTAAGCAGGTGTCATGGTTGGCTCTAACCAATTGGATACTCTGCATTTCAGAGTCTTTCAATAGGTAAGCCCCGTGTCACCCTTTTTTTGCATGAATCTTTTTCTTTTTTTCATTCTTAAACCTTAATTCATGATCTCTCCCAATATTGCAATAGTCAGCACTGCAATTACTCTATATTTCTATATATGGATTTTATGGAATGGCTGTTTTACTGTAAATCACCGTTTCTTGGATTTTTTTTGTTAGTTTTTTCTTTTTTTCTTTTGGTTTGCCTCCTTTCTTGTTCCTATCTGTTCGTTTCTAACTTTCCTTAATTGACAACATTTTTTATATAGTTTATTCATTTCATTTACTGTAAAAATAAGTTTTAGGTTAAAATATAAGAAATGGGAATGTGAAGAAGCATGTTTGGCACCTTCTGATTTACCAAATTGCACCTCTTCTCTCAAGATTTCTATCTAATTGTTTGTAAAAGACGACCACTTTTAGTTACTTGACTAATAGTTTTATTTTTCATATTTGAGATGCAAGAATTTGATTTATGATCATTAAAATTAAAAATTTAATACTCTATCAATAAAATATATGGCTACCAGCAAGTTATATATTTCAATGTGTATATATAAATACACATATTTACTTTGATAAATTCACTAAAATTTGTATGTTCATTAATTATTTTGTTATTTTTTAGTGTTTATAATGAGGAAATATACACCTAGTTAACTGAATACTAATCAATCATTGTTTACAACTAATCGTTTTAGTAATCAAAGTTCAAATTTGACGAATGTTATCGTTGTAAAAATTTTGAATAGATTATTCAATAATAATATCTAAATTTAGAAATAATATGACCGTTATTCGGTATTTTTGTTATTTTGTAATACTTTTATTTATTAAAGTATTTATTTGAAAATTAAATCTAAAATTTAAGATAATTAACTATTAATGCCAAAAAATCATCACTCATTATTATATACAGTTAATCGTTTTAGTATATCAAAGTTCGAATTTGACAAACGTTATTGTTGTAAAAGATTTGAATAGATTATTTAATAATGATTTTAAATTTTAAAATAATATGACCGTTGTTCGGTATTTTCGTTATTTTGTAATATTTTAATTTGTTAAAGCAATAAAATTGATTCTAAAAAATAAGATAATTAACTATTAAAGTCATAAATTTATCATCATTCATTATTTACAGTTAATCGTTTTAGTATATCAAAGTTCAAATTTGATAAATGTTATTGTTATAAAAGATTTGAATAATTATTTAATAATAATTTATAAATTTAGAAATAATATGACCGTTGTTTGGTATTTTCGGTATTTTATAATATTTTAATTTGTTAAATCATTCATTTGAAATTGATTCTAAAAATAAGATAATTAACTATTGAAGTCATAATTTATCATCATTCATTATTTACAGTTAGTCGTTTTAGTATATCAAAGTTCAAATTTAATTAATGTTATTATCGTAAAAGATTTGAATAGATTATTTAATAATAATTTTTAAATTTAGAAATGATATGACCGTTATTTGGTATTTTCGTTATCTTGTAATATTTTTAATTTGTTAAAGCATTTTTTTAAAACTTGATTCTATAAATTAAAATAATTAACTGTTAACGTCAAAAATTAATCATCACTCATTATTTATAATTAGTCGTTTTAGTATATCAAATTAAGTTTGATAAATGAAATTTTTGAAAGAAATTTGAGTAAATAATTTAATAATAATTTCTAAATTTAGAAATAATATGACCGTTATTCGGTATTTTTGTTATATTTTAATATTTTTAATTTGTTAAAGCATTTCTTTGCAAATTAATTAACTGTTAATGTCAAAAATTTATCATCACTCATTATATACAATTAGTCGTTTTAGTATATCAAAGTTTAAGTTTGATAAATGATGTTTTTATAATAGATTTGAGTAGATAATTTTAATAATGATTTCTAAATTTAGAAGTAATATGACCGTTATTTGGTATTTTCATTATTTTACAATATTTTTAATTAATTAAAGCATTTATTTGAAGATTAATTATAAAAAGTTAAGTTATTTAATTATAAAAAATTTAAATTTCAAACTTATTGACTATCACTTTTAAAAAACAATTGTATAAACTAATTGAATTAAATATCAAATTTTGAACTCATGCAAATACATTGCCTATATTATGAAAATGATTAACATTCAATATTTTAAAATAATGCCAAATGAAGCAGTCATATATCAATATTTATTGTTGTAAAAACAAAGTAGTTATTGAATTAAAAACAATTTTTATAAATTGCTGATTCACCATTTAGGCATCCTCCAAAAATGGCATGTTGCCTATTCATAACCAAAATCTTAATTATACCACCATGCAGGGCAAGAAATCCAGAGTGCTGGCTGTGCCTAAGTGTCATTTCCTTAATTGTCATTTCCTGAAATGCAAGAAAGAAAGGCTAAAACGTTATCTCTTTTGGTCAAAAGATTTAAATTTGATTTTTTTTAAGTATTAAATTTATGGCACACAGTTTTAAATAATAATAAAAGATTGCCTTAAAATTCATTTTTAACTCAAAAGGGAAAATAAAAAACAAACTTTTTCTCTCAAATTTTCA